TGAGAATGGTGATCTTAGAGCACTTAATTGTGCTCATGTGAAACTTATACTTGGACCGGGAAGCAGTAGTCAGAACAGAGCAGGGAAACACTGCATGGTTCAGGATCAGGGAAGGTGTGTGTCAGGAATGCATCCTATCTCCATACCTTTTCAATCTATATGCAGAACAGATCATTTGAGAGGCAGGGCTTTATGAGAAGGAATGTGGCATCAGGATTGGAGGGAGACTCATTAACAACCTGCGTTATGCAGATGACACAACCTTGCTTACTGAGGAGGACCTGAAGCACTTGCTGCAAAAGGTCAAGGACTGTAATCTTCAATGTGGGTTGAAGCTCAACATCAAGAAGACAAAGATTCTCACCACTGGGCCAATTGGTAGCACCATGATGGATGGAGAAGAGAATGAGCTTGTTGCTTGTTAACAATTACAGCTTGCTTGGCTCCACAATCAACACTCTTGACACCAGTGGTCAGGAAATCAAAAGATTAATTGTATTGGGAAAATCTGTCAGGGATCTCTCCAGAGTACTGAAAAGCAACAATGTCAGTCTAGAATGCCTGACACAGGCCATGGTCTTTGTAATTACTTGCTATGCATCAGAGATCTAGGATCAATGCCTTTGAGTTGTGGTGCTGGAGAAGAGTCTTGAAGATACCATGAACCGCCAAGAAAACAAATAGGTCTATATTGGAAAGGGTGAAGCCAAGTTTCTCCTTGAAGGCTAGAATTTCGAAGCCTCATCTCACATACTTTGGGCACATGGCCAGAAGGGACTGATCCTTGGAAAAGGACATCATTCTTTGAAGGCAGAGGGACAGACAGCACAGGAGAGGAAGACCCCAGATGAAATGGATTGATACAGAACATGAGGATACGTGTGTCAGAGTCAGTGAGACTGCCTCAGGATAGGACAAGGTTCAAAACTGTTGTTCATAGGTTTGCTATGAGTAATATCCATCTAGATAATACCAAACAAGACCTTTTAACACTGGCCTACAGCCATGAGGCTGAAAGTCAAAAGGCCTAAAAAGCACACTTCAGAAGTTGTACTGACTAAAGAATCGCATCCTGTTTCCAACCTGAATTATGTTAATTTCTCTAATAAACCCCATAATTTTTAGTATGATTCTGTGATTTGTAAAGCCACAGCAGTGGATTAACATATCCAGTAGTAAACCAGTGAGAGCCCTGGCAGGAATGGTTGGTATCAGAATTAGTAGTAGGTACAGGAGCATGGGGGGCTTCTTTGATCACATAAAAATTGATTTTGTAGTATTAATGTTGCTGATAGGGACTGTTCTGCCTTGCAGTTAGTGGGAGGTCAGACTCAGCTACCTCTACACAGCCAGCACTCTTTTCACAATTAGATTATCCAGTGTTAAAAGATAGGCCTGAGAGCATTTCCTCTTCATGTTCTTCCAAGCATTTTACAGTTTTAGTCTACATTTAGGCCCTTAATGTTTAATTTGTTCTTGTATATGGTGTAAGGCAAGGAATGTTTCCTTTTTCTACACATGAAAATCCAAATTTTCCAGCACCATTTATTGACGAGACTTACCTTGCATCAAATAAACTCAGCACTCTTGTTAAAAATCTCCTGGCCATAACTATGCAGATTTACCTCTGTACTGGTTCAAAATCAAGAAGGGGGTCCATCAGGAATGTATTCTGTCTCCATACCTTTTCAATCTGTGTGCAGAACAGCTGGGCTTTACGAGGAGGAATGCGGCATCAGAATTGGTGAGTCATCAACAACCTGCATTATGCAGATGACACAACCCTGCTTTTTGAAACTGAGGAGGACCTGAAGCGCTTGCTGCAGAAGGTCAAGGACTGCAGCCTCCTATATGGATTGAAGCTCAACATCAAGAAAAAGATTCTCACCACTGGGCCAAATGGCAGCATCAGTATGGATGGTGAAGAGACTGAGATATTTAAGTTTTCGTTTACTTGGCTCCAACACTCTTGGTACCAGCAGCCAGGAAATCAAGAGATGAATTGCATTGGGAAAGTCAGCTGTGAGGGACCTCTCAAAGTACTGAAGAGCAACAATGTCAGGCTGGAGACTAAGGTGCGCCTGATCTGGGCTACAGTCTTCACAATTATGTGCTATGCATCAGAGAGTTGGACAGTGAATAGGGATGATAGAGAATTGATGCCTTTGAGCTGTGGTGCTGGAGAAGAGTGTTGAATATACCATGGACTGCTAGGGGAACAAACAGGTTTGTCCTGGAGATGGTGAAGCCGGAATGCTCCTTGGAGTCAAGGATTCTGAAGCTTTGTCTGACATACTTTGGGAATGTTCCTTGGAGAAGGACATCATGTTTGGCAGAGTGGAGGGGGCGGCGAAGGAGAGGAAGACCTTCGATGAGATGGATCGATTCTGTGACTGGAGTGGTGGGAATGAGTGCGTTTGAGATGGCTAGGTTGGCACAGGATAGAACGTCGTTTAGGGCTCTTGTACATAGGGTCACTATGAGTCGCAAGCAACTCGATGGCACATAACAACAACTCTCAAGTCTATTCCATTGATCTGTTGTAGGTAGCCAAATAAGATGTTTCACTGCCAACCTAGAAGCAAGTGGTTCAAATCCACCAGCTGCTCCACAGAATGATGGGTAATCTCTTCCTGTGCAATTTACAGCCTCTGAAAACCAGCTGAAGGGTCAACTATGACTAGATTCTGACTTGATGGCACATTACAACTGTTATACCAACATCCAAAAGGTTTTCCAGGCTGTCATCTTTATAGTGGGAGCACTGGTGGCCTGGTGTCAAGAAGCTGCGCTACAATCCTTAAGGCACATGGAGAATGTCCAATCTCCTTCCGTGTGGTTAACTGCCTCTGAAAGCCTGCTGGATGGTCAGCTATGGGTCTTTTCTGAATCAATGGTACACAACAATCTTTCTAGGAGCAAATCACTTGGCCTTTTTCCCAAAGTTAAGTGGGATTTAACCTAACCTTTTGATTCGTAGACCAGCATTTAACCACTAACACCATGCTTCCTTCATGGAACCTGTGAAGGGCTTGAAGAAGCCATAGGGGAGAGGACTAAAAGAGTGGTGCCTGGGAAGGAAGACTGGAGACAAGAGGGTGTGGAAATTAAAGTGGCTTGAGGGAGGTGAAACTTTGCCATTCAAGAATGTGCAAGACCTGGAGAGCTAGTGGTACAGTGCTTGATAGGATCAGGCTAAGACTTTGAAATACAGGGCTATAAGGTCTAGAAGAAAAGACATGGCCCTGGGAGATCCTGATGGAGCAGGATTGAAGCAGGTGGTCTAAAAACACCAAAAAAAAAAAAGCCGTGGAAACCTTGGATACCCTGGGTCTGAACAGTGCATAGGCACTATGAAGACATGCCTGTTGTTGCATTGGCATGCCTGAGGAGTCCAAGGTTTGAGGCTGCAGCCCTGCCAAGGCATTGAGAGTTGTGTGCATGATACCTTCTACTTTTACCCAGCTCTGACATGGGCCACAAAATGAGGCTTTCAGTCAGGTGGCCACACACTGCTTGCAAGGAGTCACTCAAAGGTTTAAGTGTCACAGCTCTGTCCCTAGTTGCTAACTTCCTGTTGGGGTTTTGGGAGATCCTGAAGGATCCTGTATTTATTACCCCATGCGGTGGTACTGTACAGGAAATATGTTTCTACTTCTATGCAATGGTTTACAGAACAGGGGACATTTCATCTCCATGCGGTCTTTTGCACAGAATGCAACTGCACCCACTGGAACAGTTGGTGTGGAAGCTTTTGTACCTTCCCATGGCATTTGCCTTTAAGGTCAGTTTGTTGTTCTTGTGTATCACTGAGTTGGACCCAACCCGTAACTGACCGGTCCAGCAAGTTTTCAGAGGCAGTTAATCACACAGTAGACTGCCCATACTTCTCCTGCAGAGCAGCTGGTAGAACTGAACTGTGTGCCTTCGAGATTGCAGCACAGATTCTTGTCACTTGACCATCAGAGATCCTTGGTGTTTAAGGTCTGTTTATGCCTCTCCACAGTACGTGCACAGATAAGAAAGGTTTTGCCATTTGCCATCTCTATGGAGCCCTTTGCAAAAAGGATGGTATCTAAACCTCAAGGGAGCCATATGCACAGAAGACCATGCTTACCTCACTCTTGATTTACACAGTAGTAACAACATTTGGGTATCTTTAAAACTTCTTTCCCAATAATTTTCTAACTCCAAAGTGAAAATTCTATTTTTTATTTTTCGGATTTTTGTGGTTGCCCTTTAAAAATCTCACCAGTCAACAGTGAGCACTGAACTACATAAGAATCTTATGGCACAGGAACTTGAGGAAGCCAGGTCTCCCCAAACCCTACACTTCCACTCCAGATCCATGGTGAGACCACATGAAAGATTATCTTATCAGGTGGAATGACTGGTATTCAATATTCAGAAAGGAGGGCTCCTTGTAAGGTCAGACTTCCCATTCTTGGGGACAGAAATGCATGAGGAGTCAGGGATGTTGGGGGCAGGGAGAGCCAGGGATTCATTGTGGTAGCTCCTATTTTAAGCCATCTATAATGGCCAAACAGCATCGCTACCACTCTTGTAATACCTGTCCATTCATTTCTTTCTAAACCTGTTTCTCTGTGTATGATCACTTGATCCTCATATCCCCATATATGATGATTCATATCATCCTCATGATGATTCACATCCCTTCCTGCTCATTTATCCTACAGATTTACTAGATTCCACTGTCTGTGGAACTTCAAGTTCTATAGTTCTGCCCCTTGTCTGAGGTGGGGCTTCCAAGGATGGTTCAAGGAATGCATAAATAGACGTTTCAAAATTGGATTTAAATATTCTTCAGGTCACCACACAAGGGGCTTTGGGATGAGAGCTTTTTACACATGAATGTGGGGCTGGGGTGCCCTGAGAGAGAAAAGGGAGACCCATCTATTAGGGCGGATGAGGTGCCTCACTCCCAGGTGGACAAGGGAGTGAGCAGAGGGTTGTGGGGCCAACTGGGAGTCAGCCCTCCCTTTGAGGTAGATCATCAGGGAGGGAACTGAAGAGGGTCTCCCATGGAGGCATTAGGTGATCACTTCCTCAGTGGTATTGCTGGTAGCTGGAATAGCCTGGGGCTGGGGCACCCTCCTTAGGGGGCAGTTGGCTGGAGTCCTCCAGGAACGGGGGCACTGAAAAAGGGAGAATCAAGTAAGGGTGATCAAAGGAGGCTGGGTGAAACATTTGCTATCCCTCCCTGGCCAGCATCCTGGTACTCACCATTGCGGAACTGCTGGGCTGTATAGCGAGTGAGGAGGATGCCAACACCTTCAATGAGGGCCAACAGGATGCTCCCCATCATTGCTGAGCCCACCATGGCTAGCGGGCCACCTGAAGTAGTGAGGGGGCAGAGACAGTGGTGAGGGCAAGCAGAACAGGGTGGAAGGGGCTGAGGCTGAGTACTCACTTCGGGCTGCCAGCACAGCACCAGTCAATGCTCCACTGGTGATGGAGTTCCAGGGATCCTCCTTACCCCGAAGCCGTACCAAGCCACAATCAATCGTAGAGAACAGACCACCCCACACTGCAAAGTTGCCTGCAGGGAGAAACAAGGCCTAGTGTTCCCAGACAACTCCAAGACTCTATATGCCAGGGTCTAGGGATTTCCAAAGCCTGAATGCTCTGACCAAGAATGGGGAGGGGAGAACAGGACCCAGACAAAGTAGACAGCAAACCTCCAGGATATGGTCCCTGTCCTGAGGTAGCTTCTACTTCAAGCCATCCACAATGACCATCAATATTCCCTTCAACTTTATAGGGATTTTTTTTTAAAGTTCATATTTTTCATGTGGTTTTGAATAAAGCAACTCTAACCTTCATAAACACTATATGAAGTTGGAATTCTGATTTTGGTTATAGAGAGAAAGATTAACTAAACTACCCCTTTGCCATGAAGGCAATTTGAATTCATAGTATCCTACAGGAAAGAGAAGAAATGCCCCATTATAGTTTCTAAGGTTGTACTTTTAAAGGAAACAGATTGCCACATCTTTCTCCAGTAAAGTACCTTGGCAGGTCAAGCAACCAACCCTTTTGGTTAAGTCAAGAACTTAGCCACTACATCACCAGGGAGGAGGAAAACCGTTAGGAAAGCTAAATAATAAGTGGTACTTAATCACTTAAGTAAAATAATGACTGAGGGGTTAAAATGTTTAGCATTGCTATGAACCGACCCACAGCTGACCCTCCAGTGGGCTTTCAGAGGCAGTTAATCACATGAGAGGAGACTGCTCATCCTTCTCCCACAGAGCAGCTGGTGGATTTGAACCACATGCTTTTGGGATTATAGCACAGCTTCTTGCCACTAGGCAATTAAAATTTAATTATAAATTAGTTATTATTATTAAAGTGCTTAGCATAGTAACCTTAATATTTATAAATATCTGATACATAAAATAGAAAACCACTATTATAATAGTAAACTATTATTATCATTGATTATATATCATTGATATAACTAGCATCATCTAATGAATGCTACCACTTTTCTTTCAGGAAATCCCAGAGTCGGGGCTAGAATCTGGACACCAACACTCCCAACTTCAAGTCTAGATATAAAGGGGAACCTGATCTTGCCATCATATTTCCTGTGTCTACTTAAAGCTTCTCACCTCCAATATGGGGGACTCGAATCCTCACAGCACTGACACTACTTCTCAACCGGTGTCGAATCCCCTGGCAGAAAATGAAGAGAAGCAGGGCATGGATAAAGCCACTGGCAGGATTTTTGGCTTTTAAAGGAAGAATGGGGATGGGAGACTTGTCATGGGTATCAGGGCAGAAATATGGAGAAGCAGCCAACAAGGGTGTTGTCACAGTTGGGTCAAGGAAGTCTCATTCATTTGATTACTGTGTGTCAGTTATTATGCTACATGCAGGAACTTGGCAATAACCAAGGCAGACTTGGTCCCTGGCCCTTTAGATCACACATTATAGTGAGAGCCAGAGCCTGAATAAGGACATATCAATAAACAAAACAGTTCCAGATAGTACTAAATAATCTAGAAGGAATGCTATTGTTGTGTACAGTTAAGTAGGGACACACCCATAGGTGACCCCATTTTGCTACCACAGAGCAGCTGGTGGATTCAAATCCCATACTTTTGAATTGGCAGTGCAATTCCTCACCAGAGCTCCCTGAGAAGAAATAAGATGAAGAAATATGACAGTGGCTGAGTAGTGAGGAAAGGCTTAAGAGGCATCCGTGCTAAGAGTTTGAGGATAATAAGGAGAATCTTGACCTGAGAGAGAATCTGAGAGAGAGCTCTAGGCTAAGGCAACAGCAAGTTTCAAAGCTATGAAATAGGCATAACACTGAGGTGTTGGAGGAAGATAAGGCCAGTGAGTAGAGAGTGGACAAGGGGGAAGAGTAGTGAAAGATGAGTTATGAGAGATAATCAGATTGTGTAAACATGGTATGGAGTTTGAATTTTAAGAATAATGGGAAACTATTAGAAAATTCTAAAGAGATACAAATATCTGAATTTACCCTTTGTAGAAGCTCTTCTGGCTAGACTCTAATGGTGTACAAGCAGAAGCAGGGAGATAAGTAAAGCTACAGCAATCATGGGGACCCAGGCCAGAATGGTGGCAGTAGAAGTCAAGAAATTGCTGATCTGGGGATATATATACTTGGAGGCTGAGTATGCTGATGTGGTATGAGGAAAAAAGAAGAGTTAAGAATAACTCCCAGGGTTTTAGCCCCTAAACAACTAGAAAGAGGGAATTATAATTCCTGAGATGAGGTTAACTAAAGAGATTAGGTCTGGGAAGGAATGAGGGGTTTAGTTTTGACACACTGAATTTAAGATTAGTCACACAAGTTGAGAATGTTGTTGATTGCCTTCATAGCAACCTATGAACAAAAGGCCTGAAGCCCCTCTACAACTATCGACATTTATCAAAGTCCATAGAGTTTCCAGAGGCATGTTATTTAGGAAGTGGATGCCACTTCTGCTTCCAAATGTGAGAGATGAGGTAAATTGCAAAGATCTTGGCAAAAAGATGGCATTTAAAACCATGACATTTGATGAGGGGGGATGGTGTGTTGTCAAAGACTTAATTGTGTTTAAAAGATTTTCTCAATTTTGAGGCTGCCTTCCATGTGTCAATTAAACTGGTCTTCTCCCTCTATCCACATTTCTGACCCAGAATCTCCCACCAGGTAAACTCTGACTTTGTATACACATCTAGGATTTTTTTTTTTGACAGGACAGTATTTCCACAGAGGAGCTCTAGTTGAAGGTAGGTCTAACAAAGGCCATGTCTGCAGTTCCCCAAGACAGTAGATTTGGAAGCCAGTCCTGGCACATAGTAGAACAGCTGGCATCAGGATGAGTAAGCGCCGGTGACTGACAACTACATTCAGTTTTCAGAGTAGTATCCCGTGTCATGAACCCCAACACCATCCAGTGAAGGCCAGGGCTTACAACTGGGGCACTACGGAAGCCTTTGATAGCTTGGAAGACTCCACCACCAATAACACCCATTGTGAAGGCTCCTCCGCAATCATCCACAATGCGCCAAGGGCTACAAGGCAGAAGAAGAAATGATTATGAGCCTTTCTCCATGCTCTGACACAGGGATTCTTTCCAAATTTTTCCTTGGCCCTACTTGTCTCCTCTTTGCAGCCAATATTAAATGAGTTTTTTTATACACAAACAGTTGTAATTAAATAAACACTATTGCAGTGTTGGCCAGCTCAAACTCATTGTTATAGAAACCGACTCACTGCTGACCTTCCATTGGGTTTTCAAGGCTGTAAATATCGCGAGAGGCGATTGCCCACCTTTCTCCAACAAGAGCAATTCCTCTAAGCCGCCAGCGAGGTGGAGCCTTCTGGGTTAGCACTAGGACTCCAACCAGCTAGCTAGCTAGTGTACACGGTCTCACTACCTCCTCCAACAATGGGCGCGTCCTATCAAGCTCCGCCCTCTGCCTCATTTTATTCAAGGCCGACAGGGAAAACGACAGATGGAGGAATTCAGCACTCACAACAATCTCAATCAGACCTCCCTTCACTAACTAAAGTTAGTTGGTAGGTAACTTCACATATTTCTGCTCCGAGGCGTTTCCCTCACCCCACCCCCACCCCTGACGAAGTGGATGTGGATTCGACCAGCATATCCCATTTTGTTAACAGAGAGGGGCAGAGGCAACCATGGTTGTCGTCTCTCTTAACGAAGTTCAGGAGAGCAGTAGATTGTCTAAGTAGATTGTCCAAGTATGGGAGGCGGTCTTGTGTGGCCAGTGCCTCCCCTGCCCACCTCCCACAACTGGCCCTGGCGACGCAACAACCGTTCTGATGTTTGTGCCCATCACTATACCAAGGCTCGCGAGCGTACTCCTCCATGGCGGAAGCGTGCGGCCAGGCAAACAGGCCCGAGCCGGCTGGGCCACGCCCCTAGTGTAAACGCACATAAGCGCCTGAGCTTTCCACCTATTCCAGGACAAGGGTTGGGTACGTAAGGCCAAAGGGGTACTCTCATTGGTCATCCACATTGCGTCACTTGTTCACCACAACCTCCCAGCGTCTCCCAGTTACCTTAGGACTCCGGAAAGAAAGGCTTCCTGTGCTTTAGGAGGAGGGAGTCCTGTGGTCTCTGTGAGAGCTTCGAAGAGAGAACTGGCTGGTGTGACAGCATTCTACGGCTTGCGAGTCTGTATTGGTAACATAAGGGTGGGCGCTTTCTTTGGGAGCTAGGGTCCTGCACTGTGCTTCCCTATTTTGACGCTTTGGTTTCTCCCACCTGGTAATCTTTGGGGGAAGTTGGGTGAGCCCATTTTTGCGGTGCGGGGGAGACGCCTTCAACAGTGGGCGGAGCCTAGATTTAGGCGTGGAACCCAGGACTCAAGCGGGAGGAGGATGGTATCACTACTTACCTGTTCAGATGGAATAGTTTCTGCCCACCAGTAGATAGAAAAATGGGGGTTAAATGCGTACATGCCGGGGAAGAGGTATTTGGTTATAGTATCTGAATTATAATCCTCATCTAATCTAATTTTTAGGCTGTCTGCCTTTAGCGCTGCCTGCTATCCGTTATGCCACTGCCTGTGGCGCTGCAGACCCGGTTGGCCAAGAGAGGCATCCTCAAGCATTTGGAGCCTGGTGAGAACTAAGAGCAGATGGGGCCACTATTTGCCAGATTTAATAGTCACTATATTGCTGATAACAATTCTTGATATATAACTTGAGCCAAGCAGTAGGATGAAAGGCATTATTGTTAATAATAAGGACTTTTGACAGCCACTCTTACTAAGGGGAGGGAATAAACACTTTATGCCTAACAACTTGACAGCTGATGCCCATTTGGGTTTACTGCATTTCAGGTTCCATGGGGTGACACAATATCTAATAGTAAGGTTGGTTGACATCTTTTGCAGTATTCAGTGAGCCAAGTACAGTGTTGCTGGTGATACTTTGTTGTTTACAATACTGATAACATGTAGCTCAGGCCTATTGTTGTGCCATAAACTTATGCAGGTGATAGATATTTTGGACATATATTTTGGACCTTGTAATTCCCTGGCACACACATTCCTGTTTACAGCAAAAAGTAATGACAGCAAAAATCTGTCATTTAGGCCTGCTGTGTTGCTGCTACTATTTATACTTTACTGTTACACTATACTGAGTGTTGGCATTAATTTTGGGCTATGGTGTAGCATTCAGTGCTATATAGAAGAAATATACTTACTATTCACCATGTTGAAATTTACATCAATTATTGGTTAACAATACTGAAAATGATCACTGATACTAATTTTAATCCTATTGGATAACATCTAATTAACAATACTGACAATAGCTGACATCTGTTCTGGGAATTGTGTTAGCTTTTGCTAACATACACATGAATATGGATTCATTAAATCCATAGCTGAAATGTTAGATAGGCCTATTCAAGCACAGAATACACCTTTTTTATTCGATTAATGGACATCTCTTTCAGTCTATGTGCCAGGCCCTTTGTCAGTACTACACCTTGCCATTCAAGAACTGGGTGGATTCAGAGCAATGTTTGGATAAGTCCCAGACTTATAAGATAGGTGGTGGTGCTGGTTCTATGTCTTTTAAGTCAGAAATGAGCCTCCAGCAGGTTTTCAGAAACTATAAATATAACCCTGCTTGCTGAAGCTGAAGAGGACCTGAAGCACCTTCTGCAGAGGGTCAAGGACTGCAGCCTCCAATATGGATTGAGGCTCAATGTCAAGAAGACAAAGATTCTCACCACTGGACCAACTGGCAGCATCAAGATGGATGGTGAAGAGAGTGAGATTGTTCACAGCTTTAGTTTGCTTGGCTCCACAGTCAACACTGTTGGCACCAGTAGCCAGGAAATTAAAAGGCACATTGCCATGGGAAAGTCTGCTGTTAGGGACCTCTCCAAAGTACTGAAGAGCAATGGTGTCTCTCTAGAGACTAAGGTGCATCTGATACAGGCCATGGTCTTCGCAATCACTTGTCATGCATCAGAGAGTTGGACAATAACTAGGGAGGATAGAAGGAGAATTGATGCGTTTGAGCTGTGATGCTGGAGAGAGTATTGAATGTACCAGGGACTGCCAAGAAAACAAACAGGTTCATCCTGGAGAGGGTTAAACCAGGCTACTCCTTGGAGGCAAGGATTCTGGGGCTTTGTCTGACATACTCTGGACATGTTGTAAGGAGGGACAGGTCCTTGGAGAGAGACATCATGCTTGGGAGGGTGGAGGGACAGCGCAGGAGGGGAAGGCCCTCTATGAGGTGGATTGATTCAGTGACTGGGATAATCGGGATGGGAGTGTCAGAGATGGTGCGATTGACAGAGCAGTTTAGGGCTGTTGTACATAGGGTCGCTGTGAGTCGCAAGCGACTCGACTCAATGGCACATAACAACAACAGTAAATTGCAAAGGGAGCCGGTTCTCCCACCGCCCCTGCCGCGGGTCCCGGCAGCACGGTGGCGGGCGGAGAGGCAGTGCCAGAGCAACCCAGCTTCGCGAAGACTGTGCGCACCGCGGCCCACAGGCACCCAGCACGAGCTCTCCCTGCCGCCAACATGCCCAAGAGGAAGGTCCGCTCAGCAGGCCGAGGGTGCGGTAAAGGAGGACCCCAAGAGGAGATCAGCGAGGCTGTCAGCTCAGCCGCCTGCAAAAGTGGAAACTAAGCCCAAAAAGGCAGCAGGAAAAAGTCTTCTGACAAAAAAGTGCAAACAAAAGGGAAAAGGGGAGCAAAGGGAAAACAGGCTGAAGTGGCTAACCAAGAAACTAAAGATTTATTTACCTGCAGAAAATGGAGAAACTAAAAACGAAGAGAGTCCAGCCTCTGATGAAGCAGGAGAAAAAAGAAGCCAAGTCCGATTAATATTTGTCTACCATGGCTTATCAGTGGTCCCTGTATCTCCTTTCTTGTACAATCCAGAGGAATATTTTTATCAACTGTTTTGTAAATGCAAGTTTTTTAGTAGCTCTAGAAACATTTTTAAGAAGGAAATCCCACTTCATCCCATTTTTAAGTGTAAATGCTTTTTTTTTTTAAGAGGTGAGATAATTTGCCAGTTTATTTTTTGGTACAACCAGAAAATGTGGGATGGTAAAATTGGGGGGGGGGGGCTTTGGATGTCAGTGTAACATTCCATGGGGAAAGGGGACAGTTTTTATATCACATAATACATAGTATGCTTAATGACAATTTGGAGTCATAGTCATGCATTTATGACTTGAACATTTTAAATTAAGCCTATTTTCCATGTTTTTTTAGATACATAAATTAGAACATTGTTTAGTAAAATTTCTTAAACATAACCACTCCCTTTTCATGGCTTTCTCCCTGTCAGAACTATGTGGATTCTGTAACATCTTTGGTCTTGGTAGTCCAGTTTTCCTAATAACTTTGTTATGTGCTGTGAACGGTTGAAAATTTGAATGTGTAGTGTGTGTGATAGTAAATTGTGAATTAGTGGAACTTAATGATGTGACAGTTTATCAACAATTGAAGATATTGGTACTTATTTCTTCTTTATGAAAACTTTCCTCCAAATTTAAAGCTAGAAGGTCACTGGAATTTAGAAAAGAATTGTAACTACATGGCTTTTTAGATTTTTGGTACGTGCATTAAGAATTGTGTACAGGTTGTTCATAATGTCTCTGTACTGGCTTTTAAAACAACCAATAAAATATAAATCATGGGAAAAAAATTGCATAGGGAGCCCTGGTGGACTAGTGGCAAGAAGCTGTGCTGCAATCCCAAAGGTACATGGTTCGAATCCACCAGCTGCTTCACAGGAGAAGGATGGGCAGTCTCCCAACCTTGTGTTTTATTGCCTCTGACAACCTGCTGGAAGGTCAGCTATGTTCTGACTCCACAATACTTAACAACAAAATTGCACAGGTATGTTATTTGTTGTTATGTACCATCAAGTTGGAAGCAGCACATAGCTGACCCTCCAGCCAGTTTGCAGAGGCAGTTTATTACCCAGAGATTGCTATCTTTCTCCCATGGGCCAGCTGATAAGATTGAAACTGCATGCCTTTGGGTTGGCAGTGCAACTCCTTATCACTAAGTACCAGAGCTCCCCTCCCCTAGACCTAGACACAGTGATCAGAAATCACATATTTGCCAAGTTAAGAGCTGGATAGATTTGGATATATTTTCAAATACTTGTTCAGCTCATTCAAATAAATTTAGATAATAGTGTCACATACTACTTGAACTCAGGAACTGAGAATTTTTTTACTTTATTATTTTTATCTTTCATATACATTGTTTCACACGTTAATTGTGACCCATACAGTCCTTCATTTACATTTTATTTTGTTCATTTATATTGTGGGGTTTTGGTTTTTTCCCCCTCATTTACACTACTTTCATGAAATCACATAAGCCAGCTACTTCATGCCTCATGCCCTAATATCCCCCTTTTAGATAGTCAATTGCTGATTTGCCCATCCCTATCAAACCAGTACTCTGAGGAAATAAACACATCCCTTTTGCTGAAGGTTCCTGTTAAACTTGGTAACTTTGAGCATCTGCATCCATAAGCATCGTCCAGTCCATTATGTTGTGTCAATTGACCCTACTTCACAGCATGGATCATCTTCTCTATCTGGTTGGGGTTCTAGTCAACTCATCCCCAGCCATCTCTGGCTAAGTTTAAATGGACATCAGCTGCAAGCTCAGGAGTCTACACTTCTCACTGCATTCCAGACCTGTTTGTCTCTTCACTCAGTCCTAGCCCCTACATGGGATCAAGTCAACAAGCCAGGGGTCTTCACGACTTATGAAATCTTTGTCCAAATTCATAAATCAGATAGGTTTGGATAATGTATGACTTATCATTAGAACCCAGAAATTGTTTTAGTAATTTGGGTAAATCCTAATATTCAGATATTTGAATTTTGCATGCAGTGTTTTAAACTGCCTCTTGGCCCACATACAGTGTTGTGATTGGTTGAGTATGTGAATGAGCATATGTCTCTCCAGGCCCTGACAGCAGGATGAGAATTCCCCAGGTCCTTAACTGGTCCCCTCACTTCCCTTTGTCCTGCCAGAGCCAGAGGAAGAGATTATTGCTGAGGACTATGATGATGATCCTGTGGACTATGAGGCCACCCGGTTAGAGGGCTTGCCACCAAGCTGGTATAAGGTGTTTGACCCTTCCTGGTGAGTGTTTCCCAGGATTGTTTTCTTTTACTGTGCTATTGTTGGCTTTGGAGTCAGGAGATCTGTGCTCCTGACTAGGGCAGGGATAGGCAGAGACTGGGAAGATAGGAGTTGAAACAAATGAGTGGACATCTATACTGAAAGTCTTTCCCTCCCTCCCATTGCCCTGCAGCGGGCTCCCTTACTACTGGAATGTGGACACGGACCTCGTGTCCTGGCTTTCCCCACATGACCCCAACTCTATTGTTACCAAATCGGCCAAGAAGCTCAGGAGCATTAATGCAGGTAAGCTGGCAGACAGACCCAAGGGTGTCTAGAACAATTCCTAAAGAGGGGTTGGGTAAAAATTATAGTTGACCAGGTTCTTGAAAGCAAATGCTGCTGGGTCTGGGATAGGAGGAAGAGGGCCACGTCAAGACTTTCATGTTCTCAGATGCTGAGGAGAAGTCAGACCGAGGCCAGGACAAACTCGACAGAGATCGAGATCGTGGCTGTGACAAGGTGGACAGAGATCGAGAGCGGGACAGAGATCGGGACCGTGGGTATGATAAGGTAGACCGAGAAGAGGCCAAAGAACGCCGTCATCATCGCCGAGAGGAAGTGGCTCCCTACCCCAAGAGCAAGAAGGGTAAGCTGACAGGGCCAGGACTAGGAGTGCAGCAAGCCATCTAGAGTGCAACATTTAAGGAAAGTTGACACAAGTGCTTGGAACTGGAGCTCCAAGCTACGTATCCACACAGGTTATAAACACTGCAGTCCATGGCAGCCATGTGTTCCAATTATTGCTGACTGGGAGGCAGAATGGGGTTCCATGTGTGTGGATTAAAGTCCTACTTCTATTTACTTTCACAGTAGCAAGCCGAAAGGATGAAGAATTAGATCCCATGGATCCCAGCTCGTACTCAGATGCACCACGGTAAGTGACAATCCCTCATTAAGACCTTTTTCCTCAAGACTATTACTGCACCTGTGAACATCATCCTTTTTGTCCCATTTCCTTTCCACTTTTCAAGTGAAAGAGAGAACCAAACCATATTTCATATTCCCATCTCAATCCTCTCCCTTTCTCAGGGGCACATGGTCAACAGGACTTCCCAAGCGGAATGAGGCAAAGACAGGTGCAGATACAACAGCAGCTGGGCCCCTCTTTCAGCAGCGCCCATACCCATCACCAGGGGCTGTGCTCCGGGCCAATGCTGAGGCCTCTCGAACCAAGCAGCAGGATTGAACCTTTGCCTTTGCAGCCCCTGCTCTTTTAGAGATTCTCATAATCTCTGTAGAGATTTTTAATAAAAGCTTTTCAGTGGATAATGCCTTTGCTTCATCTTTCTTTTGAAGCTTCCCAACCCAAGCCAACAAGATGCAAAACTCATTTTATTTACAAAAACTCACCTAAGAAATAGGGTAGGTATGGCAGAGACATGAGGGTGGCAAAGCTGGAGACTTGAGGAAGGGTTATGTCTTCATAACCAGAGAAGGGTTAGTCATGCCTGCTCTGCCTGCAAACAGGCAGTTTGGAATCTACTTCACCCCATCCCTAACACTACTAATAGCTTGGTCCCAACTGGGCCAGGACAGGAGAACAAGGCCAGGCCAACGTCTTCAATCCCAGCAGCTACGAACCCTTCACCTTGGTGAGCAACCTGTGTAGGAAGGGGAAGGAAAGAAAAACACAGCTTGGGGTGGGCTAAGCAGGAGGGCTTCTTGAGCAAGCAAAAGGCAATAGTGGGGCTGGGTTAGTAACAATGGTTTCCTGGATCAGAAAGCTGCACATGGACTAAATAAATACAACATCTTTATTTGGCATTGGGTATCCTGACATTTGTTCATTACAATTTCTTAGAAAACAAATTAAAAAGTCAGAACAAATGAATAAAAAATAAAGCTCCAATGACATAGCAAAGACAGCCCAGGCACTCTCATGCATGCATATACACACATTCACTGGGATACAGTTAAGGGATTAATAAGCTTTGGGGAATGCTGGGGAAAAGTTCTAAATTTCATCAATTCTAAGACACTTCTCCCTCCCCATACATACATACATACATACACACACTCTCTCTCTCGGTGTATTATATACCCAGTGGAGTTACCAAGTGTGGTTGGCAGCTTGCTTTTTCTTCAGATGTCTCAGAAAATAACCATGGACCCAGAAATTGACAGTGTCTTAGATTTAATGATTCAGCCATTAGCAGCAAAGCTTTTTCTTCAGAAGTCTCAGAAAATAACCGTGCACCCAGAAATTGACAGTGTCTTAGATTTAATGAGATTCAGCCATTAGCAGCAAAGCACACACACACACAACACACACACACAGCCACCACCCTAGATCATTATCTGATTATAGTGAATTTAAAAACAAAACCACCTGACACAACAGCTTGCATTGCACCCTCCCCCAGAATGGGTGGATACTAAAATCTCAGCAGCCATGAACAATTGCTCTTGCACTCTCTCCCTGGACATTCACAAGAAACTTGTTATCAAGGGTCTTGGTACCAGAAAAATAGCCCCAATGCCACACAGAAGACCAAGATTGATCAGTGTGGTGGCGAGGGAGGAGAGAATGCTTCAATTTATGGGAAACTGAACCCCACAGGTTTTCATTACTAATTACCAGATTTCTGTCTAATTTGTCCCTAAAAAGGAAGCAGCGGCTTGAGAGGAAATCTTTCAGATATGAGGACAACCCCAACAGAGGGAGGCAGGCAAAAAAAAAATTGCTGCCTGTCCCAGAAGGGATTAGACAAGGGTATAAGAAGCAGTTCTAAAATTCCCTCTTCAGAAGGGGTAAGCCTACCAGTTAGGGTGATGTGATGGCCAGCCCAAGTCTCATAGTATATAAAACCCTCTCTCCTAGCCATCTCAATGACCTGGGGGAAAAGACTACCTTCGTGCCCCCGAAGAGCCAGGCTCCAGCAGACACATGAGTCCTGTAGATGCCCTATGCCCTACATCCTAGTCTCCTTATCTCCCCCCAACCACAGCCAACCCTCACTTCACCAGGACTGACTTTGGCAGAAAGGGCTCCAGGATGACATCTCCACGATGGGAAGACAGCTGTGGTGGTGGTGGCTGCCCGGGAGGCTGCTGGTGCATGCAGGGCCCAAAGGTAGAGGTGGAAGTGGATTTGGCTGTACCTCGAGGAAGGCTGTAGAGGTAGACAGCACCGATGACAAGGCCAGCACCAAGGGCAAATAATGGGTCTACATGGAAACCAAAGAGGCGAATAGAAGCAACAGTGGACAGCACTATAGATAGGGAGGTGGCAAAGCCCTTGAGGATGTTGTCAGCATACTTAACAACAACAGCCACCAGGAGCCCACCAAAGGCCTGGTTGAGCACGACACCCCAGACAGCAGGTGTGTACCCAAAAAAGAAGCCATAGTGGGCCACAGCAGTGCCTTCAGCCCACCAGAGTCCCACTAGACCTAGTGTTGTGCCAAAGAGGCCAAGTTGCAAGTTGCGGAGCCACACAGAGCCTGAGCTGCCTTTGAGGATCTTCTCAAAGTAGACACCTGCAAAGCCTGAGGAGAGACAGGAGGCCACCACAGCAGCAAGACCTGCTCCAGGGTTTTGATCCAGTGGCCGTGGGCCTCCACTACCTGCTTGCTGCGCCTGGACAATGGCAACACCAGTGAAGAGGAGCAGCAGGGAGGCCCACTGCAGTCGCGAAAGGCTTCGGTTCAGCATGAGCACAGAGAACAGTGCTGTGGTCAGGATCTTCAGCTGGTACGTCACCTGTGAATAGCACGTGGAAGGCACTAAGGACTGACCCTAATCCCAATATAAACCCATGGAGGGCAGTACCTACTGTGAGTCCCCAGGTACAATAGAGGGAAAAGTTTAGATAGCAATAAAAACAGCAACATCCAGCTAGTTGGTCATTGACTGAATTGCAGCTAGATCAGCTTTGAGTGACTCCCAGAAAATACAGAAGAAGTCCTTGGCGGTACCCAAGTCCCACCACTTCCTAGCTGTGTGACAAGGGAAAAAGTATTTTCCCTGTCTGAGCCATGGCATCACCATCTATAAAGTAAGACCAATGTATGTAAATCACCCCATTAAATAAATGATAGGCTTTCTGAAAGAAGAGTCTTAATAAATATGTATTGAAACATACTAACCAACCACAACTAACAGCAACAATATTAGCACTTTATGTGGCAGGTGTGGGCATTAACACTCTTTAGTCATATAGTTAATTTAATCCTTATAACTCTATGAGGGTTATAACTTCTAATGAGAAAATTAAGACACAGAAAGAACAGGTGACCTGCACAGTATCACACAGCTGAAATGTGGCAGAATTGGGATTTGAGCTCAGGCAGCCTGGCCCCAGAATCCAGGATCTTTAAGAATTTCACAAAGCTGCCCACAGTTTAAAGCTTATCACCAGCCAAGGGGCTTTTCAAATAAGGAATCTAGGATTGAGTAAGTTCCAAGGACTTTCCAAAGGTGACATTTTCTAAGCTCTCCCACTACGCTCTATATTTCTCAAACCAGTCAGTTCTTCTGGGAACATGCTGTGCTTGGAGCTCACCTGGAAAGTGGCAGCTGGAAGATTGGAAATAGCAACATACTGGAGGTTATTCTGTAAAGTATAGATGAGAGAGGGTACTGCGAGCTTCAGGGTGTCCACATACTGCACCAAGACAGCCTCATGGAGGAAATGAACCAGATGCTTCAGGTTGCCTGAGTAGGGGAGAGAAGGGACCTTTTTAGCACCAACTGTAAAACAGGATGTCATCTCTCATTCAGCTGTATCTTGCCATCAGCTCTAAACACACCAAGGACATGTATACCTTGCCATCAGCTCTAAACATCCCAGCCACATGGATGAATGCAGGTTTGAACTTTATGTGGAGTTCCACTGGAACTTACTCCAATACATAAATGAGAATAATTTACTACATAATTATCCTCAAACACTTAAATTTAGAGTCTTTACAAACTCTGCCCTAAGTTTTTGTCAGCTCATCTTTTAAGTCTCAGTTGAGCGTTGCTCTTCAGAGGCCTCCACAATAAATGTACAAGGAGACCTTGCTGAATCAGCAATTCACAAAAACCTGTCCTTGTGCTTCACAGCACTAGTACTTGCTCATTTAAAACCCTTTGTCCATAACTTCTGGGCCCAGATGGATTGTGGTTTTTAAAATTTTCCAGCTGTTAGGAAAGTAACATTGGCATATATACACCCACCTAGCAAGGTCTGGACTGGCACATCACAGTCAAACACATTAATATTTCTTCAGTGAATTGTATGAATATTCTCACCAAATAGGGAAAATACACAGAGCCCATACCAGGTCAGGCCAGATTTTACCATTTAAAAAACCCAAACATCTATGGAATATGGCTTCTGATTCAGTTAGTAACTATTTTTTCTTCCCTATCCAAAATATCAGCCCCATTAGGGTAAAACACATGTTTGTATTACTAATATGCTGGACATAAAGCCCACTTAGTTTTTTATATAATTCACTTGTAAATGTCTACTGAACCAACCAAAACAAGTGAGTTTCTAAATTGCTGCTTCCCAGTGACCTGGAGTTTAGAGAATAGATAGGAATGTTTTCTTCAAAATAACACCGAGGGGGAAAAGTAAACACCTAGGGTAGGGCCATATAGAAACTACAGGGAGGCAAACCAAAAAATCTAAGTAAGACTACTTAAAATCTACAGGACTAATAATTTGATTTCCTAAAAAAAATTTCGAGGGGGAGATGTAAGGAAATCTGAAAATTAACGAACTATATCACCAATATACTGCCTTTATTAAAATATAATTCAAATTTTTAAAAACTTTTGTGACCTTTGAGAAATAAATTTAAATACTATCTGACTACTTGGTCATTTCATAGTTAGTGTTAGAATTGTTTTTTTTTTTTAAGTAAAGACTTATTGTAGTTAATTTTTTTTTAGTTACTTTTTAAAGTATATCCCAAAATATTTATGAATACAGTTTTATGTGAGATTTACTTCAAAGTAATAAGGGGTAACATACAGATTGACACTGAATAGATAATAACTGATGCTACTGATGCTGAATTTGGGTGACGGACTTGGACTTCTATTCTCTTGGATTTTTTAATTTTCCACAATAAAAAACTGACAATAAATGAATAAACCTCCAGGCAAGAGTCAGCTGCTACCCTATGGGTTTCTTACAGGCACAGACTCACTCCTACAACCCACAAAGGACAGCTCCGAGGGTTTTAGTTGTATAAAACTGAAGATGTAGCTTATAGCTGGAGGGATAGGTAGCTTAGCTGCCCTTACAAACTCCCCAAGCATTTTCAAAGACACCTATGGTCACTGAATAGACCCCTCATGTGAGCCCTTACATATATACATACATATATATACACGCGCGCACACACACACACACACACACATGCAGGGTACCACCTGCCTCAGCTCATACCCCTCTTTTGTGCGAAGAGTAGCAGTAGGCAGGTGAAACCTTTAAGCACTTCTGCCATGACAACAGCTGTAGTAGCAAAGAAACGGTCCCCAGGCAGTGTGCGGGCATAGCGGATGCTGAGGATGAGGGAGGCATTCTGGAACACCAGTACAGCCAGAGACACGTACTTGAGGCGCCGGTGAGCTGTGGGGAACAGAGGAAGCAAGGGAGAGGAGAGAATCAGAAGCTGCTTAGGCCTAGCCATACAACCACCCATGCTCTTCTCCTTTATCAATCAAAATCCTCTTAGTCAACAATATTTCCTCCTGCTGCCTATTCCACCCTGATTAATAAAAGCATGGCCCTCTCTTGTTTTCACTGTCTCAGCCAGAAAAGGACCAGAAAGGGCCACATCCTGTTCAGCCTATACCTAGAATCCTAACTGAGGTATCAGGTGGCTGAGCAGCCCCTGGTCATCTCAACTTCCTCTGTCCCTCAGAATACCCACTATATTCTTGACAGTTACTGTATGCCAATTACTGGGTTAAGGAATTATCATTATTATGGATTATCTCACTGTATCCCTACATCACACTGGTCTCCAAAAACTATGAGGATTCCCATTTCAGGGATAAGAAAACAGACGATTTATATAAAATGCCATTGTTGTGTACCACCGAGTCAGAACTGATCCTCCAGCAGGTTTTCAGAGGCAGTTAAGCACACGGAGGAGATTGTCAATCTTCCTGAATCAGAGCAGCTGGTGGATCTGAACCACTTCAAGATTTCAGGGCAGCTTCTTAACCATTAGGCCACCAGAGCTCATAAATAAAATGATACTCTTATTTAACAAGAGATTGTCTCTTGTGGCATACATACAGTGAATGCTATCCCAATACAGGGAATGAGACCATTGTATAAAGCATGTACTCCCCTTAAGGAAGTCTTTCTCTCATTTAAGAAATGACTCAATTCCCTCACACTCAGAATGGCTTCTCCAACTCCCTGCCGCCCCATGACAACTGACTCCTTTACATAGAATAGCCTTAACAAATATAATAATTTCCCCACTGTCCCAGGGATTGAACTCTCACGTAATGAATGGTTACCCTTAATGAGAATGGTCTGGTTCCCACAATCATGTAAGGAAACATTTCCCCATACTCCATATGGTTTTTTCATCATCCCCATTCTCAACAGGTATTATTCCTTGTTCTACCTACACTCACAATGAACTCTACAAGTAAGGTCTCGATGCCCTCAGAATTTTTCTTCCACCATATCATAAAGGATCCTCCCATATCAACATACATTAACTCTACTTCCTTTAGGAAGGGATCCCCCTTATAATGACGTCCCTCTGTCAAAAAAGATCCTCTCTTCGTAATGAAGAGACTGTCCCGTCCTAACTCACAATGGTCCCTGTCCTTTAATAATGAAGGAACAAAATAAATAAATAATAATGAAGGAACCACAACATTCAGAATGGTCTTTCTATTCTTTAAGGATGCCCCCCAAGAATGGTGTCGCCCTTCTATAAGGAAAGAAACACACACACACACACAGAAAGAGACAGACAGACTTCGAATATATTAAGCTCTGGTGGCCTAAGTGGCAAGAAGTTGTGCTGCAATCCCGAAGGCCCTTCACATTCAGAATGGTCCCTCCTCTTTATATGCGGAAGAAGCCTTCCAAGAACCTACAGAATGATCTGTTCTCTGACTCTAACACACGCACAATGGTCCATTCTATCCTCTCTCCCCCACAAACTTAGGTCTATCCATACGAGGTGCGCTCTCTCGCCTTGATGAGAAGCCTTTCGAATCTCCAACGATCCTGACTCTCGCCCCACCGCAGATTTCCCAGCCACAGCCAGCCCACCACCTCACCCGCACTCGTAGTCCCAGGTTCCAACGCCCCCACGGAGACCACCCCAGGCACAGGCGCTGCGGTGGAACCACCAGCCCCAACCGCTGCCATGTTGGCATTTGCCCCTTCCGTCCCCTCAGAAACAAGCCACTTCCGTATTCGTCATTTCCGCTTCCGTTTGGAGCGTGGTGGGTAGAATAAGTGGTTAGAGGCTTTCCTCCACTGCTCCTTAAAGCGGAATTTGAGAGATTCCACTGGGATTGAGAATCCTGTGAACTCGACCACCTTCCGACTTTGCACCCTTCCTTGACTGCTCAGCCACCCGATACCTCCCATCTCTGCGATCCTGCTTTCTGTATGGTCAGATGTCTTAGTGGTTTGCCACTGAGCCCGCCTCCTAAACATTAAAGTTATTTCAAATGCTTTCTTCCTTTAGCATAAGCTTTAGTCCTTCCTCCTTTACCCTTCTCCCAGTTAAACCCAGCTCCTGGGGAGCTTGTGACAGTCTAAGCGAGGACAAGATATGGTAAAGCAGTTAAGATATAAAAGTGGCAAAGCTGAAGCTACACAAATGAAGAAAGCCCAAAAAAGGTGACCGTCATAGATGGAAAAGTGAAATAGGGACAGATAAGACATCAGATGACGGGAAAGCAAGAAAGAGCAGAGCAAATAAGCAAGCAGGCAAAGGGACTCCCAAGTGAAAGCAGGGTAGGAAGACAAGCAGAGGTCAGGACAAGTGAAACCAAGACAGAAAAGTGCAAGACCGGCAACTTGAAGGAGATGAAAGGGATAAGCAGTTTAAGAGATAACACAGGGTGGAGGCAATTTCCAATGGAACCTTTCTCTACATACTCTGTACTACTACATAAGTGCTTGGAGGGGCATGGTTTGGGGGAATCCTGTCAATAAAGCCATACACATTCTTTTGTTATGTGCCATGGAGTCAAGTGACTCCTGAGACTATAAACACATCTGAATCTTGCCCTACCCTATCTTCACCTCTGACACACTCGAACCTGTCTTAAAAGTCACAGTGTCAATCCATCTTGTTGAAGGTCTTCTCTGACTCTCCACCTTTCCCAGCATTTTATCTTTTTTCCAAGGACTGGCCCCTCCTCACAATATGCTCAAATTATGTGAGATTAAGTCTTTTCACTTCCTCTTCAAAGAATCTGTTATTTGACAGACCATGGGATATTCTATACTTGTCAATTCAAAGGCACCATTTATTATTTTATTCATTTTCCAACTTTCTGATGCATATTGAAAACACCATGGTTTCTTGAGATACCACAAAACCAAGGCATCCTCAAAGAAGTCCATCTATTCTTCCTCTCTGCTCAAGCCTTCAGTGCTCCATAAATGCCTTGCTGTATTTATTAATGCACAGTCACGTCTGATTTTATTAATTTATTAAACAGTGGGCCTTCACTGATGGCTTTTCTGATTGTATTAAGTTTCTAAATAGTGGGCTTTTCAAATAATCCAGGCTGAGTAAAGAGTAAAGCACACTAGGGAGTTCCCTGCCCTCCAACACGTATTTACTTTTCCTCAGGTGGACAACCTTGACTCCTAGGCAGAAAGAATCTGCGAAAGTTGGAGGGGCCCCAAAAGAACAGGCAACAAGACATGTTTCCTCCTCCTAAAAAAAAAAAACCAAAAAAAAAACACAAAACAAAAAAACCCCAAACAACAAAACCAACCATCTTCACTCCATCCTAGTCTCTGATGTTGCCCAGATCCCATTCTTTCTCCAAGTCATGGTAGAAATGGTTTCTCACCAGAATAAGAACACTTGATGTAACTGTAGGATCCCAACACAAGGAAAAAAAGAGAGCCCTAGGAGCATAAGGTATTGCCTCCTCAGAATAAAAATCCTTTGGCTGAGGTATGCAGGTAGTTTGACCAAATATAGGGCCTTAGGCCAGGGGAAAGTATCTTAGTCAAGATAAGACATGTTAAGGTATTGGAAGGAAAGCACCTTGCCCATGTAAGGGCATTTGAACTAAGTATGGTGATAGGAGGTTTCAGTGCAGGAGTTGTAATTTATCAGAATAAGAATCCTTTTAAAGTAACTTCAAATAAACATATAGAGCAGAATAGGATGAAAGAAGTTCCCCTTCCATAAGAGACCATAAATTCTCTGAGGGAGACTCATTAGCAGGAATGGGATAGGGAGTAGGCAGACTTGGCTAAGTCGCCTGATTCCCAACTCGTGCAGTAACACTGTAGATGACCCTCCTATTAACATTGGATTTTTAATGACCTGTAAAACCAGGTCAACAGATGGCATGGCCACAGGATGGCTTTTCTGAACAGTGAGGCCTAGATAGGCCTATGGCAGCAGGGACCAAGCCAAGGGACTAGAGTCTCCTTTGGTGTTGCCAAAAGATGTGTCCTCAGATATTGTTTGCATCCAGGGGTCCAGCAGGATCTCTTCCAGTGTGGGTCGGGCAGAAGGCTTGGGAGCCAGGCACCGGAGAATTAGGGCACGGCAGTCTGTAGGGCAGAAACAGGTAAAATTAGCAGTCAGCAGGAGGTCACCAGATCCTAGGAGGATAGAATTTGCTGGGCTGGGAATAGTGAGGACCTTACCTGATGACACATGGTCAGGGAAGTGGAGCTCAGCCTCAAGAATCTCCTGGTCCTTCTCAAATGGAATGTCCCCACACACCATATCATAGAGGAGGATACCCAGTGACCAGACAGTGGCCGGGAGTGCATGGTACTGGTGTTCAGAAATCCACTCTGGGGGGCTGTATACCCTTGTCCCTGTAGACAAGCTGAGGATTAGACCAATTTCTGATAATGCCATTTTCCTATCCCACATCACTCTCCCCAGAAAGTATAAAGAATATAAATAAAGAACATTCACTATGAGAGCGAGGTCCCCATGCCAGAATAGGAATATCAGAAAAACAAGGGCTCAACACTAGAATGAACACACTTAGAGTAACAAATGATACAGTACCCTCAGAGTAAGAGTTTATTCAGGATAGTAGCAACAGCTCTTCACCAGCATAAGAAACCATAAAAAAGTCATGGCATTGTCAGAAGATGGACTTCATCAGTGGGTAGGGCTTGGGAGTCTCCAGTATTAGATATCAAAAACATTACAAAGGTATAATATAGGTCATAAATTATTTATTATATTTAGGTATCTCAAGCATTGGAGGTCAAAGGAGAAAAGATCATGACAATAAAGGTAAAACATTTTCCCAGTAAAATTTAGGCAAGCCTTACCATCAAAGTCAGTGTAGGGTGCATCATGAAGCAGAGCACCAGACCCAAAATCAATGAGTTTGGCACAGCCTCGGCATAGGTCCATTAAGATGTTTTCATCCTTAATATCACGGTGGACAACTCCACAGGCATGACAGTGCTGAACAGCAGCCACTATCTGCGTAAAGAGGTAGCGGCTTCGGCCCTCACCCAGTGGGCCCTGTTCTGTGATGTAGTCAAAGAGATCCTGGGCAGGCAAAGGCCGCTCAAAGACCAGCATGATACCCTCCGGTGTTTCAAACCAGTCAAGTAGGCGGATCACACCAGGGTGTCCACCACCTGCACCCACCTTCCATAACAGTGCCACCTCAAGTGGGCATGTAGCTGAATCTGTCTGGAGGGAGCAAGCAGAGAGAAATAAGCTGTATGTAAGACCAGTGGTTCTGAGGCTTACTTCTTATGTGGAATCAAAGCTGTCTATGTAGCACTGAGCAGCCTACTTTCTTTCCTGGGCCTCCATTTCCTCTTCTTTTCTTCAAACTTAGAGAGTCTGTACACATCAGGCACATATGAAGATCTCATAATATAGTCAAAGAAAACGGTTCTTGGCCAAATGTCTTCAGCAGAAGTACTTAATAAATACTGAGATGTGATATTTATCTGTTTTGTTTATGTATATATCCCAAAAGACTAGATCAATACCTTGCACACAGTGTGCGTATAAGTGTCGAATCTGAACAAACCCATAGCTGACCCTATACTGAGTTTTTAGAGGTTGTAAATAGCAAGAAAGGAGATTGCTCATCTTTCTCCCTCAGAGCAGCTGGTAAATTCAACTCCTTATGCACAAGGCCCTTTGTACACAGTAGGTGCTCAACAAATGTTTGTTACATAAATGAAAGCATTTTATGAAATGAAATGAAAGCACAGGATCTGACACAGCATTCATTAAACTCTATTATGGTATAATGGTTTGTCTGTTTATGGACCTAGCTCAAGCATGAAAACAATGCCTAAGAACAGGGTAAAACCAGTTGTCATTAAGTCGATTCCAGCTCCTGGAGACCCCCATGTGTGTCAGAATAGAACTGTGTTCCATAGTTTTCAATGGCTGACTTTTTAGAAGTAGGCCTTTTCTTCTCAGGTGTTTCTGGGTGGATTCAAACAGCTAACCTTTTTGGTTACCAAGTGTGTTAACCATTCAAACCAACTTAAGACTCAGGAAACAAGGTGAGGCTTAATAAATATTTGGTAAATAGATCAAAGTAATTAGTAGAAAGGAGCCTAGTACGAAATAACCAAAACCCAAATCCACTGCCCTTTAGCCAAATATGACTCATGTAATGCCTCTTTATCAGATTTCCAAGCCTGTAAGTCTTAACAAAAGATTGTCTCATCTTTCTCCCAAGAAGGGACTGGTAGGTTCAAAATGTCTGTTAATTAGCAACAGAACACATAATGCACGTCACTAGGGATTCTTAGCACAAAATAAGTTCTCTGTAAACATATTTTCCCAAGTACCTAGAATAGTGGTTAATAGTCTGTGCTCAATGCGTATTTGTTAAGTAGTTGTTTTGTGCCATCAAGTCACCTGTGACTCATAGCAACTCTGGGTACAACAGCTCTCAACCCTGTCCTTTCCTGAGCTAATCTCACTGTCTTCAACACACTTACTCCCATTACCCCAGTTACTGTGTCAATTCATCTCATCCAGATGATTTTCTCCTGCATTGTCCCTCCACTCTTCCAAGCATGATGTACTTTTCCAATGACTAGTCCCTCTTGGCAACATGCTCAAAGTATGTGAAATGAAATTTCAAAATTCTTGTCTCCAAGGAGCAACTTGGCTTCATTCTCTCCAAGACAGATCAGTTTGTTCTCTTGGCAGTCCATGATATGCATCTCCAGCACCACAACCCATCGATTTAAGTAGTGATTAATTTCAAAACACCAAGCACAAAGTAGGTAAAAATACTATCATGTGATATATTGTCACTATCATGAAATACCTGTATAAGTGTTGAATGTATGTGCTCAGTGTAACTTAGAGCAGTCTCACTAGGGCCCACCAGGGGGCGCTCCCACCTCTACAACGTATCCAAACCTGCCCAGCTGTTCCCTAAAGGCAGCAAAAAGCAGCCACCATCACCACGGCAACCAGTGACCTCTGACCCTCTTTCCTCTCCAGCATGCCCTGCGGGAAGCCCCCTAAAGAAGGTTTGGCGGGTGGATGAACAAAAAAGGACTGGTAGGGGGGAAAGGCTCTGGAAATTGGGGTGAGTCAGAACAGTTACAGGAATATGGATGTTACAACAGGGTGCAAACAAGAACGGATAATAGCATTCTCACCCAGACAGGGCATCTATTCCCTAGAAAGTAAAAGGGCGAGTTTATTGTCAAAGATGGAGTCTTGGGTTCAGAAAGGACGCCAAAGATACTTACCAAGGGGATCCAACTCAGTACACGACTCCGGGGGATCACTTTGATGGCCACCTGGAGAAAAGTGCCCAGGTGAGGAGACTAACAAGATGACTCCCAGCTGACTATGCCTGTTTTCAGTATCTCTCCATTAGCCAGAAGCCTAGTCTTTTCGGTTCCCAACTACACCGTACCACACTCCATGAGCCAGGGTTTCTACCCTGCCCTCCAAGTTTCCGGAACCAAGTTCAGTCCTTTCCACTATGATTAATCCTAGCTACCCCTTCTCGGGCTTCAAGACCTCTCACTTCCAGGTTCTGAGTTCTGAATTTCCCCAAATCTTCAAACACCTGACTCCAAAATCTAAGACCTTAATTTCTCACCTTCACTCATTCACACACATACCCTGGACCCTCGTTCTAGTGTCTTCATGACTGACCCTTGCTCCCAGACCTCCAAAATCTTGCCCTGAACCTTACACCCGCCTGGGTAACCCCTCTTCCACTCCCACCACCATCTTCACCTGGAGTTTGGTTCTCATTGCTCTACCATAAATCAGTATCCCAATCCTCTGCACTCTATGCACTACACACGCACCTGATGCTCCCAATGCCTTAGCGGTAAATACCTGGAGTTGGTCTGCTATACGGTGTCCTGCGAAGACCGTGCCAAAGCCCCCTTTGCCCAGGAGGGGACCAAGTTGGTATTCGGCTTCAAATGCCTCCCGATTCTTGCCTCCTACGTGGTGGAGGCGAGGAAATCAGGAGAGAAGCAGCAACCCCATCCCCCTACACCATCCCCTAGTACTTCAACCCGCTCTGCCTGGTGGCAGTAAGGAAGGGTGTGCTCACCTGGCGGTGCCGTGGGAGACAGAGGGGGCGCAGGTACCCCCTGCAGAGGCTTGGTCAACATGGAGGAGATGCTGCACATATTTGGCCCAATGAACCCGCAGGGTAGGGACTCCCGGGGCAGAGTGGTTGTGGAGCAAGGATCTGGAAGCGCCAGGATGGAAGGGAGGCACACTCGTGGCCGGGGCATTCCAGTAGACAGTGCAGTTAGGATACACTATTCGCACCGGCGCCAAAGCTACTGAGGGCGCACGTGCCGCCTGGGAGTCACCCAGGGCGACAGCTCCACCCTCTGGGCTTTGGTCAATCCAGACCCAGCACCTGCGGTACCCCAGCCAATAGAAGCCAATGCTTATTTGCATACCGCCCTCAATGTTTAAACACCCCCACAATGCAAATACAAGCCTGATCTTCAGGCGAGGCAGGACCTGCACGCAAAGGAGGGTGGGCACAAGGTGAGACACAATGAGCAAATTAGTTTGGGGAATCCCTTTACTTACAACTTCACAACTAAAACTTCTTACTTTAGTAGTTGTGCTGCGTTGTTTTACTATAGAAAATCTTTCTTTAAAAATATTTATGCGCCACCTCCTTTCCTAGGAAGTTGGTTTGCTGAGGCAGTCTCAGTGTGAAGACAATTTGAGTATATGACTATACAGGATTTTAGTCACTATGGGTGCTCCTCACCTAAGCTATGTGCTTTGGGAAACTGGCAGCCTCTGCCTCAAAACTGAAGGGAGAGAGGTGGTGTCTGAAAGAACCAGTCCAGCTGCAGGGACGGGTACTACCACCACTACCTCACCACCTCGGTGACCTGTGGGGTTTCAGGAGCCCTTAACCTAGCCACACCCGGCTATGGCGCCCAGCCAACAATCTATGATTAGGAATGGCAAGGAGAGTGGGGCTGTACTTTGAGCTGAGAAAGGAACTGCTAGAGGACAGTCAAGGTTTCTTGAGAGGTGGTAACATTGTCAGGCACAAAAGATGGGAAAAATAACCAAAATGCTCTCAACTCCAGATAGACAAATATACATTCTGACAGACTCCAAAGACACACAACCAACTCAACTATGTTAAAACACATACAGTGTCATATTGACGTAAACTTGCCTGAGAAAGAGATTATGCGCCAGGCAGGCACAGTTATCTGTCAAAGTAACACCCAGAAATGCAAACTCTTGTAATAGAATCAAGACAGAGTTGTCTGACTTCTCCCCCCAGGAGATGAATTGTTATTGAACACAGGCACTCCAGACTCACAGAGACTGGCATTGTTATGGGATGATAAAATGTCCTGTCAAAAGAATGTCATTAAAGCATAGGCCTACCAGACATGCACATAAAGACTTGTGCAGTCCCAGAAATGAGAGACCTAGAGTCTGACACAAAAAATATAATAAAGATGCTACACACTCACACATACTGCTCCTAAGGCAGAAAGACAAATTCTGACGTGATGTTCCCAAAGATATGCAGTGTCACAAATACCTGAGAAAACAATGAATCTGGCAACAGATATATGCATCAATCAATAGACATGCAGCCTTGTCACTGAAACAAATAGCTACCCATAAGGTGCCACAGGAATAAATTCAGAAGCCAGATGTATTGTCAGACCCAAATTTGTCTCAGATACAGACACAAAACTGTCAAGAGTAACCATCTGATGTATCCCGTGTGTGTGTGTGTGTGTGTGTGTGTGTGTGTCACACACATACAGTCTTTCTCTTACTGGAATAACTGTAAGATGCAAACAAGAGTTCGAACTCCTTGATCACACACATGAACGTCCCCTTATTCATCCAACATCTGGGACCTACTTTAAGGCTACTGGAGGTCCCTGATAGCACACTGGGTAATCACAAGGCTCCTAACTGGAAGATTGCCATTTCAAACTCCCCAGCTGCTCCTTGGGAAGAAGACGTGGCAGTATGCTTCCATGAAGATTTACAGCCTTGAAAGCAAAAGCACTACTCCGACCTATAGTATCGCCATCAATTAACTTGATGGCAATAGGTTTGTTTTTAAGGCTAACAGACTCTGAGGGAGGATATTAGAAGTAACAGATGAGTCAGGCATTGTGGCCCTTGCCCAGTTTAACAGTGTTAGAAGCAGTGTGATTGGCACAGGATAGAGCAGGGTTTAGGGCTGTTGTACATACGGTCACTATGAGTCGCAAGCCACTCGACGGCACCTAACAACAACTGTTAAGTTACTTATTTGTAGACAGGAGGATAATGGGAATCACACAGCACTTCTTAGCCAAATTCCAGACCAAAGCTAAGAAAGCAGGAAGTAAATGCTGATAAAAAGCAACTCTAGGGTAATAAAATCCACTAACACTTGCACTCGCTAACTATGCCTGGCACTGTAACACATTCTCTCTCAATGATCATGACCAGAGAACATAAAGACAGTAGACATCATTCACGGTTTTACAGATGGGAGATGTGCAATTTAGATAGGTCAAATAATCTGGCCAAAATAAAGTTTTAAAAAGTCATGGAAAGTTTCAAACCAACTGTCCAACACATATATGCGTGACCACTGGACTTCAGAAGACACCCTTAGGAAATACAGAAAGCCACACTCTCACAGCCAACAAACTTCCTTCCACAGAGAGTGGTTAACAAAACACTCCTATGTCAGATAAAAACCTAGGAGAGGGTGTGTGGTGTGTGGCAACAATTTTTCTGTGCTTTAACCTTGCCAACAGAGGTGGCAGAGGAGTAAGGTATATGAAAAAACAGGGCTTGGATGTTCTTCAACTGATAGAACTTAAGTTGGAGAGGATCCTCTTGTTTCTTCTGTCAAGCTCACAATGCTATAAAGTATCAACTGTGCCTTTCCATTACATAAGAGCAAGCATTTACGGTACAAGTTTATGGCTGAGGCTGGAATTCAGGTTGCCCTCTACCAGTACAGTCCTCTTACCAAACTCTCAGGAAATAGGGTAGGCAGCCCACATCTGTGCCAGAACTGTATGAAAGCAACAAGCAAAGAATAGGATCTTTCTTGATGACAACTGTCTATAAGGAGACTTTAATAAGTTAATTAATTCAGTATGAACTGTAGGCCCCACCGAGGAGCACGAGGACTTCAGAAGTAAAGGCCTGAGCCTTGACCTCTTATGTCCATGGGCCCACCCACCTCCTGCCCCACAGAGAACAGAGGTGCGCTCAGGGGAAACTGATATTTGGTTTTATTGTGCCAAAGACATTACAGATGGCAAATCTTGTCAACACCTGTAAGGGGCTGAGGTTGCTCCACTTCCCACAGTCAAATCCTTGGTGGTGACCATGATCCCCCAAAGATGCCCTGACACCCCAAGATTTCAAAGAGACTGGTGATGGTAGTGGAAATAAAAGGAATGCAGCGCGGTCAGTCTCATTGTCCAAAGCCAGTCTGACACTTGGTCACCCACCTCCCCTACCCAAACTCGCATCCACTTCCACAGAACTAGAGGCCAGAAGATAATAACTATACTTCTGTGCCCTCACCATACATCATGACCTGCCATCCCTGAAACAGAGAGACACCACCTTCACAGAGCCAATGCTGTTGTCTAGATCATTTTGGATTGGTTGATAAAGACAAAAGCACATTTTTAATAAAGAAAAATTCAAAACCGAAGGCTCAGACAGACATTCCTGGGGTAATGGGAAGGGAATTTCCCACTTTTCTCCCCCAACTCCCTGGCATCATTTGGGCAGGAGATGACAACAAATTTTGCTGATCTTGTGAGAAATGAGGAGCAGAAGACTTTCCTCTGTCTGAATGTCTCTTCTGGGGCTGCCTGGCAGCTTGTCTGTGTGCCTCTCGCCTACCTTCGGCACCCTTGCCCAAGTTCCCTGTGGAATGCAGGGATGATGATGTGCAGAGGGACACAAGGGACGACAACTGGCAGAGACAGGTGATGTGGCATTATCAGTAAGGGGTCACAGGGATGGGCCAGCCAGAAGGAAGAGGGGAGAGGGCAAGAAGGGTTGCAAGAAAGGACAAGGTGAGAGGGAAGAAAGCCAAAGACAGTGGGGTGGCACCAGAGGGAGGAGTGGTGGCAAACGGTCTTTAGTCCCTGGGTCTCCATCAACTCTTATCTGGGGGTGGCTCTCTGTGCACTTTGTTTTTCTTCATACTGTCTAGGTATTCCTGTTGGGACACTGCCAGCACCGATGCTAAGATCTCATCATCATCCCAGTCATTCAGACCTGCTGGGCAAAAAAGAAAGGGGAGAAAGGTGATAAGAAGTTGGTGCTCTCTCATTCTGCCTTCTCCCTACCCTGGCTCAGAAAAAAACAGATCCAGGCTCCTTATCACTATTCTCTGATAGCCAGAAGCACATTAACATGAAAACCCAAACTAAGACCCTACTCACACATTTCTCTAAGGAGAAGGCACTCACTTCTAAGCCTAAAAAGTTCACTCAGACACCTGCTGGGATAATCTCTTGGTCTGAAATAGTCTAGCACCTCTCACTCCTTTTCTTGGGAATAAAGTCAGTTTCTCCAAAAGCTCCCTCTTAGGATTTCTGTCTTCCTCCAGTTGTGTCTCCCAAACTACTAACTAATCTGAGACAGAGAAGGCTTACCAAAGGCAGAGGGGGACATCTGTTGAATGAGAGCTCGGCACTCCAGAGCAGGGTAAAGGGACACAAGTGGGGAGGTGGCCCGGTCAGCTCCTGTTGAGAACTGGCTGCTTGTACCTGGGGAGGATGAATAATCAATAGAGGCAGGGCTCAGGACACTTCCTAACCCCAACATTTACTCTGTGAGTAAGACACTGACCTGGTGCACAGGGTGAAGGAGGTTTGGCAAGAGCTAAGACAGTGCCAGGAGAAGGGGGTTTGATGCCCAGCTCGGCATGCAGCTCAGGGTGTTCAGGAGATGAGGCCGAACTCCGCTGCCGTGGGGACCGGCTGGTCCACTCCTCCAGGCCACTAGAGGCTGCCGCTGTGGCTGAACTGCATGTGGCACTGGCTTTCCGGGGCTGCAGTGGTGAAGGAAAAGGCGGTAAGTACCAATACAAATCATGATCCTCCCATGTCCTATCACTTCCTCTCCTCCTAGAACCTTGGTACATGAGTCACTGTTATGAATTGTTAAAAAAAACCAACCCCTACAAAAACATACTGTGATCCTAATCCCTATACCTGTGAATGTAATCTCATTGGTGAAGAGTAATAACAGATTCATATAGCTGACACTTTTAGGGTTTTCAAGAGGGTATAAATGGCACAGAGGAAACTGCCCATCTAGCTCCTGCAGAGTGGCAAATGGATTTGAAGTGCCAAAGAGACACTTACCTTTGGGTTACCAAGGCAATTCCCTATGGACATCACCAGAACTGCTAGGCCCACCACTCTTTTCAATATTAAAAAAAAAAAAAGCCAGTTAGACTGGAGTGACAGGAGGTTCTGGACAGAATGGGGGAAAATAAAGAAAATGAAACCAAACTAAACCATAATAACATCAGACCTACTGGCCTGATCTTTTACTTCAGCATTTCTTCCCTTTGTTTTGGCTTCACATTGATTTTGTTTTTTTTCTTCCCAATCTTTGTAATGACCTCTTGCTTTCTTCATCTGGTCATGTGAATTAATGTTCAACAAATCAGTCTATTGTTGAGATGGGTTTTTTAAATTCCATTGGGATACAAGCAAGGTTATATTTTGGTCCTTTTGGACTTGTTTTCACCTTCTTCAGCTAAAATATGAACTTACACAAGTAATTGTGCTCGTGTAAAACACACCAAGCAGCAAGGGAATACTGCATAGTTTAAAATCAGAAAAAGTGTGAGTGAGTGCGAGTGTGTGTGTGTGTGTGTGTGTGTGTGTATTCTTTCTCCATACTGATTCAATCTGTATGCTGGGCAAAGGCTTTAAGAATCTGGACTATATGAAGAAAAATGTGACATCAAGATTGGAGGAAAATTCATCAACAACCTATGTTATATAGACACTATCTTGCTTGCTGAAAGTGAAGAAGACCTGAGGCACTTGCTGAAGATCATGGAATACAGCCTTCAATATGGATTGCATTTCAACATCAAGAAAACAAAAATCTGCACACCCATGTTTATCGCGGCTTTGTTCACAATAGCAAGGAGTTGCAAAAAAGCTAAGTGCCCATCAACAAACGAATGGATAGAGAAGCCGTGGTATATTCACACAATGGAATACTATGCTGCATTGAAAAACAAGGAACTTATGCAATATTATTAAAAATGGGTGACCCTGGAGGACACTATGCTGAGTGAAGTATCTCAGTCACAAAAGGACAAATACTGCATGGTGCCACTGTTGTAAAACAGGACTGAGCTGGGGGTTTGGAGAGACTGAGAAATATGGCTTCAATAATTTATATTGCATTGAAACAGATGATGGAGAAAACTGCTTAAAAGGGATATGTGATTAGGTATTTTTGTCATGACAGGAGTCCACAGCAAAGGCTGTATAGTGAAGTGGACCTGGGGGGGAGGGATTGTAAAACAAGGAAAGAATTTTTCTTTTACTTTTCCAAGAGGGTAGTGTACTAGGTGGAAGGGTTGGGAGGGGAGAAAAGTACAACAATGAATGAATGGAAATCCAAAGTCTCTGTAAATTTTCATTGAAATGAATAATAAATTAAAAAAAAGAAAATAAAAATCCTTACCCCTGGGCCAATAGGCAGTATCAAGATAAATAAAGACTGAAGTTGTCAATGATTTCATTTTACTTAGATACACAGTCAAGACCCTTGGTACTACTGGTCATGAAATCAAAAGATATGTTGCACTGAGCAAATACGTAGTCAAAGACCTCTTTAAAGTGCTAAAATGCAATAAAGTCAGTTTAAAGACTACAGTGCTCCTGATCCAAATCAAGGTATTTTCAATTGCTTCCTGTGCATCTTTAAATTAAGACAGTTAATAGGGAAGCCCAAAGAAGAATAGATGCCTTTGAATTGCAGCGTTGGCAAAGAGTACTAAATGTCCCATGGGCTACCAAAAGGAAAAATAAATCTGTCTTGGAAGAAGTAAAATCAAAGTGCTTAGAGGAAAGGATGGTGAAACTTTATGTCACATACTTTGGGAATGTTATCAGAAGCTAGTGCTTGGAAAAAGATATCATGTTAAAAAGAGGAACAGTAAAAGCAAAGAAGACCCTCAACAAAATGGATGGAAACAGTGTCTGTATATACAATGGGTTCAAGCATGTTAAAGAGAATGTGAGGATGGCACGAGTTAGGGCAAGGTTTACATCTGTTATTCATAGGGTCACTATGAAGTGCAGTTAACTCATTGGCACCAACATCAGCAATACTAATATGATAGAGACTGCTGGAACCCCTGGAGTTATGTCCCTTAAGACACTCTTCAAGTCCTGAAATGAACCTACTCCAGGGGGATCAACTTTCAGCCAAACAACAGACAAGATTATGAAGTAAACAATAAGCACATGTGAGGAATGTTTTTATTTGCCCAAAATAAAGTTCAGAAGGCAGGTGGGGCAAGGAAAAAAAAAAGTGTGAAAAGAGTGCTGTCGCATCAAGGAAGTCTCCTTAGATGCAGTCGCATCTAATAATATAAAACAAAATGGATATAAATTGTTTAATGGAAAACAAATTTGCTCTGTTAACTTTCATGCAACACAATCACACAAAAGAGTAGATTCGACATAGGGACAAGCAAGTACAAATGGGGAAAAGACAGATGCCGTGTGAAGATTACCAACACTGGCTAGAGAATCTGAAACAAAAATTACCCTGCAGGGCAGAAAGAGTGACGTTCCCTAGATCCGGTGCCCTGAGAAAATAAAGTAGCTTGTATTTCTTTCTATTACAGCATCATTAATAAACTATGATAGTCACCATCACTCTCATCATGGAAAGGACCATAGAACTCCCTCATTAGACAAAGAATAGTCTCCTTAACCTTTCTTTCTTGCACCCCTTTGGCCAATCGAATCATAAGTCTTGTTTTCCCCCAATATTTTTTATTAATTTTAATAAACATTTAGAGATTTTGGATTTCCATTCATTCATTGCTGCACTTTTCTCCCTGACCACACCTCCCCGCCAGTTCACTTCCTCTCTTTAAAAAGAAAAAAAATGCCTTCATTGGTATACAATTCCCCCATCACCCCACCACCACCCGTACCAAGTACACTTCTCTATGCAACCTTAATTCTGGACTCCTGTGCTAACCATAATACTCAATCATATATCATCTCTAATCTGTTCTTTCCCTCATCTATTTCAATACAGTATACATAATTTATCCAGTTTTTTCTCAGTCTTCCCCAAACCTGATGTCAGTCCCATTCTACAAGAGTGGCACCATGCAGTATTTGTCTCTTTGTGACTGAGATATTTCACTCAGCATAATGTCCTTCAGCATCACTCATTTTGAATAATATTGCATGAGTTCCTTGTTTTTCAATGGTGCATAGTATTCCATTGTGTGAATATACCACAGCTTCTCTATCCATTCGTTTGGTGATGGGCACTTAGGTTGCTTCCAACTCTTTGATATTGTAAACAAAGCTGTGATAAACATTGGTGTGTAAATATCTGCTTGGATGGCAGTTATGGTCTCTATGGGGTATATTCCCAGTAAGGGGATTGCTGGGTCAAATGGTATCTTTATTTGCAACATTTTGAGAAAGCAGCACACCGCTTTCCACAATGGTTGCACCATTTTACATTCCCATCAACAGTGAGTACAAGTTCCAGTTTCTTCAATAATGTATACTGCACTGAAACAGAGGAGGGAGAAAACTGTTTAAAAGAGATATGTGACTAGGTATTTCTGTCATGACAGGAGTCTAGAGCGATGGCTACAT